TCGTCAGGGTGGAACTGTGGCTGGATCCTGATGGGTTCACAGGAGAGGAAATAAGGAGGTTTGAACATGGGATTGGGGAATGTCCCCCAGAGGCGCTCTTGGTCCCCGGCTGTTGGTGCTTTGGGGAAAGACAAGAGCGAGACCTTGGAAGATGGAGCCTTGCTGGAGTGAGTCGTCGGGGGCAGGCTTTCGGATTCCATATCCTGTCCCCACTACTACCTATTCGTACTCTGCTCCCAAAGTACGGCTATAACGCGACCCGCCAGCATCCTGACCTTGCCACCTTTTCTTCCCTGTTGGCTGTCATGTCTTCCCTTAGCATGACGGACCATATCTCTCTGGGACAGCGAGCCAGAAAGCAAAAACAGAAAGATCATCTAGTGCGTATAAAGTGGCCTACCTCAGATATCTTGTTATAGCATTGCTATAAAAGATGACTAACAGCTATGCTATCTTCTGTTCTGGAAATATAGCCTGGAGAGATGCTGGCAAACACAGAGCATGCAGCTCAGGCTCTCTGCACCCCCTTCCGAGGCCTTCACATCAGCCCCACCCACCAGGCCTGTGTTCGCGAGTGTGCGCATGCGTACACGTGTGTAGGTACGCACCCATGCGCATTTCTTTGTTTATGCAATGAAAGCCTGGGTTTTAGCGGTCGAGGCATTTCCCCAGTTCGAGCACACGGATCCAAGCACAGCTTCTAGCTCATACCTGGGTGCATCCGCTCACTGAGCTCACTTTGGTCACCTGGCACACACTGCACGGCCGTGAAGCCACCAAGCACCAGAGTGTCCGCTATGGCTCTGGAAGACAGGCAGCATGTGGCCAGCCATGGTGGGTGCAGAAAGTGATCTGGGGAGAAGCTTATGGCAGAGCTGTGTCAAAGAAAACAGATGGCAGAGAGACATCAAGATCATCTCCAAGTTCAGTGACATCAAATCGGTGACCGAAGCCTGTCTCTGTTAACACAGGTGGAGACCACAACCAGCTCCATCTACAGGGAACTGCTGTCAGAGGCAACCCCTCCCCTGAGGAACACTGCAGAGGGACCCGGATGACTTCCACAATAATCACATAGTGAAGATGTAGAGACTAAAGATGCTGACATACCACATGGTAAGGGAGTCCATCCCATACAAGCTTCCTGTGTAAAAAGCCAGGGTAATACATGAGGAGCCTTGTCTTCTGATACAGGAGGCTGAAGAAGCCCCGGAGACTCAAGTGCCAGTGACGTACAGCAGACCCTGACTCCAACAAGGTGGAAAGTAAGGGCTAATAGCCGAGGTTATTCTCTGACCTTCACACACACACTCTGGAAGACTTAGATCTACACACAGACACACACACGCTCACACACAGACACACACAGGCAGACTGACTTAGGATCCATATTCATCTACATTCCCAGGCTCTATCTTCACCACCAAACTAGAGCATCCCCATCTCTACAACGCAGGGCAGGGACGGCCACGTGGTATGCATGCCAAGCTGTCTGAAAGACCCTCTGCTTGAGAGGTAGAATGATATGTGAATACAGTGGGCACAGAACCCCGAGATGCCCAGCAGAGGAAGTTTTCACAGCTAGGAAGCCACTGGGAGAGCGAGGCAAAGAGTCAGGCACAAGTGGATCCCACAGTCCTTCCCACCACAGCCAAGCCTTGACAAAAATAAATCTGCCTCTTAGGGATGGAATTCAGCTAAAACTGCCCCCGTATTCACATCAGCCAGAGGATTTGGAGGCTGAGCGGAGCCTCTGAATTCTAGCCTTCCAATTCAAGGCACCACTCGGGTCTAGTCTAACATCTAAACGCCGCTATTCAAATGTCTAAGGGGGTTGAGAGTATCCAGAAGTCACTGAGTTCTTGGGCTGCAGCCTGCACCCTGCCTTCTTCACTAGAGCCCAGATCTCAGGGAGCTGCCTTGGTGGAGGAAACTGGCATGCTGAGAGAGAGACACACAGAGAGAGAGAGAGAGACAGAGAGAGAGAGAGACAGAGAGAGAGAGACAGAGAGAGACAGAGAGAGAGACAGAGAGACAGAGAGAGAGACAGAGACAGAGAGAGAGACAGGGACAGAGAGAGAGAGAGAGAGAGAGAGAGAGAGAGAGAGAGAGAGAGAGAGAGAGAGAAGCTCTGTCCAAGACCCTGGAGCCACTGGAGCCAGGCCTCTGCTTTGCTGGTGTGTCTGCCACTCTACAGGGAAGGAAGCAACACAAAATTGTCTGTAGCACACTCGCATTTTAATCCGACTTTCTCTAAACTCGCAATCAAATCAAAATGTTGGGTATTTCTAACGAGCTGTGGTTTGTGTTTTACTACATGGGCAAATCTCCCTGAAGCTAGAGTACAGCGCTGTCTTGTGGTACAGCCTCCGGTTCAGGGACCGAGTTTGACATGAACCCTGCAGACTGCCCCACATCTGTGGACACGGAGCCCCATATCCGCTATACCCATGTCCTCAGGGGAAGGTGACCGCTAACTGGATGGATGGCTGCTTTTCAAGTGTCTTCTTCGAAGCTGTTTAGGAGAGAGGGGGAGAGGATCACCCCCTCAAGCCCCATCATATCTCCCCCCATCTCAGTGGAGATGTTAGTGTCTGTAGATGGTGTCTGGATGGTAAAGGACTGGCTCACTTCCTGGCCTGACTGGGAAAAGGAACCTCTGGAATTCTGCTTAAGGAAATTGATGGGTTCGAGAGACTGCTGGGGTTCTTGTCACAGAAAGGGATCCCAAGTACCCTCAAGTTCTGGAAGGTGAAGATGAATCCCCTGTTAAAGGGACTTCTGACTCTGCCTCTCGGGGGCTGCAAGTCAGCTGTGGCTCAGTAGCTGTCAGCCACTGTGGAGGCTTCAGCAAACCAGCCCCTAGCAACATGGCGCTGGGGCCATCTGAGGGCAGTCTCTGTTCAGTCAGATACTCCCACTCTAGCAGTGGGGAGCTCCCTGATACCCCACCCTTTTCAATGTCCCTTGATAGCGTTAGCTCTAAATGTTTCTGTTCCTCACCAAACAACCATCAGTGGGCAGGCACTCAGATCTCCAGCCCCCAAGTGCCATTTTGAACCAGAGGCCAGCTTCATCATTCAGATCCGCCCACCTTCAGTACCTCCACGCTCAGTGCCACACATCTGCTCCCCTCCAGTCTGCTCCCACATAATCTGCACAGGGTTTCCGAGCTGACAACACTCTCCTCTCCGGGCATCCCATGGCTTGCCCTGCCCTTTGGGTGCCTGGTGAGACACACTTCGTCCAGAAGACCAGCCCAGTAGAAGGGGAAGGGAGGATCCCGGGCTTCATCATATCTGCCTCAACCCATCCTCCTCCAACTCCCAGGAGCTTAGGACCTGCACTTGCCAGGGCAAACCCCAACATTTTATCATTTCCTATCAACCTATGTGTTTTATGGGACCTACTAATTACGGCACACACACCTGTAATTATGATAATGCCTCTCCCAGCCATACACTAGGTAGAGCCTCTTAATTATAACTCAAACAATTAATCAACCAGCACACATTTTCTGAGCATCTGGCCCACGCATGGCTCTGCCAGGCACTGGGAAAGGAAACCACACAGCTCGGCTCTGTGTCAACTAGGAACTCGCTCTCCTCTCCCCCCTTGCCTCCACAAACACCCAACTTAGTTTTGTTATTTTGTTTTGTTTGTTTTGTTTAAATTATGGCAACTTCAAGGTGGGGGGTGTGAAAACTCGAAATGGAGTGTATAAATTGGCACTGCCCTTGGGAAGCTGTCATTGGTCTCCCTAAAAAGACCCAGAAACGAGAATCGTCTCTAGACAGCACTGAGTGTGTGCCTCTTTGTCTGCGTAGACCATACAGAGAGGGGTCCCCCAAGAAGTGGGTTTCACCCCTGAATGTGCAACAACCCCCCCTCCCGGGAGTCATAACATAAGGGACACAGCAATCCCACTGACAACCTACCCAAGCCGGTGAGAGGCCAGTGACTACCTACCCAATCCATCAAAGGTCAGTGAAAGTCCTGCATGGCCCTAGAGGGAAGAGGACAGTCCTCTTGCCTTTGAGGCTTATGGATTCCTCCCCACCCCCAACAGTGGAAATGAAAACCACTTGCTGAAGACAAATTCCTGTTGGGGTAGGTGGAGTGGGGTACTTAACTGACCCAAGGGCAGGGCCACAGTGTGAGCCACGACTTAATCACTCCCAGAGTTCCAGACTGGATCAAAATCCATTATTCACAGCATGCCATTGCTCCGGAAGCTACCCTGGCCTTTTTTAGCCAAGGGCAAAGGAGAGACAAAGGAGGACAGAGGCTGCGAGAGAGGATTTCTAGGGCCTCCAAGGGCCAAGGACAAGGCTGCTTCTGAGCTTCTAAACTCCAGGGTCCAAGAGCAAGCGAATTTGGACGTGACCAAAAATGTTCCGAGGACAGCACATGATCTCAGTGCTTCCTCGCGGGGCAGTGCTTCAAGAGTCAGAACTCGACTGAGACCTAGGGGCTTCCAAACTCTGAAATCCTTCGATGGCAAACATGTGTAGGGTGCCCTCAAAATCGCGAGGTTGGACAATCTTCCAGGGCGTAAAGGAACCAGCTCACCTTCCACATACAATTGCCCAGGCTCAGAGCCCCTCAGCGCCCAACACTCCTCACTCTCAGGGCCACTGTCCCGACCAGAGGTAGCTGTCCGAGCCGGGGAGGACAGAGACTTCGCAGAATTCGGAGTGTGGAAGTCGATACCCGCCCCCGCCCCGCATCCTATTCAAGCCGGTGCCCTGGTAGGTTAGAGAGGGACAGGACAGCCAAGCGTGCAAGGCGCGTGTGCGCGCGACTGCGCGTGTAAGCGGTGGGTGGGTGGGCGTTCACATCACCGTCTCGGACCAGAAAAGGGAACCAGCATCGCGGACTCGCCCCAGTCACCTCTCCCCCGAAGCCGATGCGCACAGCCTTCGAGCCCGGGACTGTCCGGGAGAGCCCTGGTCCCTTTCCGGGTGCAGACCTCCTGCGCCCTCCTCTCCCCTTCTTACCCAGGATCCGGTAGAACCGACGCGGGCAGACGGGGCGGCAGCAGGACCCAGTCTCCGGCAGCCGCCCGAACCTCCATGAAAGCGCACTACGCGGCCAAGCCCGATCCTCCGGCTTCCAGCGCGTGGAGCGCGGGCGACCCCGCTCCGCTTGCCCCAGCCCGGACCGACCCCTCGAGCGCCCCTCTGTGGGCTTCGGCGCCCTCAGCGCAGCCAGCTACCCTAACTGAACTGTGTTCCCTCCGGTGGCCGCCCGCGGACAGGTACCCACGCTCTGCTCGGACCCGGGCCGGGCCGCACGGACCCCTTTCTCAGCTACGCCCCTATTCCCGAACGGTCCCAGGGCCGATAGGTGCAGACTTGGGTCACACACTGGAAATTCAACTTTACCTCCGGCGCGGGCTTCTGGCTGCTTGCTCCGCGTGCCCGGCCGTGGCTCCTCGGGGCGGAGCGCAGCGTCCCCAGAGCCCACAGCTCAGAGTCCGGCACCGCCCCGTGAGCCACCCCCGGGCCGCCCAGGCCAACGCGTCCCGGTTACGGTAGCGAGGCGCCCCCTCGTGCCCAAAGGGTCCCAGGGCGAGGACCCCCGTCATGGCCGGGGGAGCTCGAGTTTGGCTTCTTTGGGCACCATGCGGGACCTTGGGACCATGGAAGGACAAAGACGTACACTTCCGCACCCACACACCCAAACACATGGGCTTCTTCACTCACATTCAACCACACTCAGAAAGGAACACAGAGCTACACAGGTGCACACATATGAACTCCCATGCTCACTAGTGCACCCATTCACCATCCGTCTACAACCTAGGGCACTCCTACAAGCACAAGGCACACACTCATGGTTTATGCATAGCACTTGATCACACACATTAGGGAGCTAACAGGGTGCTCTCTAGTGCACACAATCAGACACACTGGCATGGCACACTCATTCTTACACACACCCGCACAGTCACTCATACCAAGTAAGGGGCTCACTCCCTTGAACTCACACCGTGTGCCATTTGAGATGCTCGAACAGACTCCTACATACCCATGCCCCAAGAGAAGGAAGCAAAGCTCTTCCAAACAAACTCCAGAGACATTGGGAGGATGAGGTTTGAGTTTCCAGTCTATGGACAAGTTCCAACTGTGGATTCTGGAGGCACGCGTCAAGCAGGAGGTGTGGGCTTCGCGCTCTGATAGGGACCTTATATGGATCTGGTGGCAGGAGGCCTCTTGTGGCCGCTGTGTCATTGTTTGCGTGGAGATGGCAATGCCCTTTTCCAGCTTCTGTCCTGCACCAGGCCTGCAAGAGAGGGATTTTCTCCCTGGAAACCGTTCACTGGGTGTAGAGCTCAGGAGCCCAGGCACTGCTATCTCTAGAAGGCCACATGTTCCGCAGGAAATGACTGCTTTTGGGACCTGTGCGCTTTGAGGCAGTCCCACTTGTCAACACACTCTGTCTCTGGGGACAGGTGCTCCCGGCCAGCCCTCTGGATACTTGTGGCGACAGAGGCAGGGCAGGCTGGGGATGCCTTTGATGCAATGATAAGCAGATTGAGATGCCGGGCAGCTCTCAGGAAGCTGGCAGCCAGTGCCCAGCTGGTCCAGTTCTCACAGGGATACAGGGTTCCAGGTGATGTCTGGGCTTCTTATTCTCTGGCCCTGTGCTGTTCTTCCTGGTAGGAAAGGTCCAGGTCCAGCTTTCAGACCCTTGCCTTGTGTCAAGTTTGTGGGTCACAGTGACCATGCCCTGGACCTAACCTGTCTCCCTCACTTTTCTGTGTACTCAGCCAAAGCACTCATTACCCTTCCCTGGCACCCAGCACACCTGCAGATGACCCCATCTTTGTCCAACCCAGGTCCCTACATTTTCCATGTGGTCGTTGGTATTCATTTCCCTGATGCATTGCAATCTTCAGGGTTTTTTAATTCTTTAAAATATAGATTACAATTTTTTCCTATTAAATTTTATCTCATTCATTTTTTATTTCCCCTGTTAATGAGCTTGTCAGATGCTTTAGAATCTTAGCTTTACTCTGTCCCCTTAGCTCCCTGGACATCTACAAAACTGATTGGTTAGGGTGGTTTGTTCTCAGTGTGGGTGGGGTTTTCAATAGCGTGCTCTCTCTCTCTCTCTCTCTCTCTCTCTCTCTCTCTCTCTCACACACACACACACACACACACACACACACACACACACACATGCTACAACCCAGCACTCCACCCCAGGGCAGGCTCTAATTCTGGCAAGAACTAACAATTGTGGGCTCAGGTGTTATACCAGCCTCAATGCCGGTCCCCACTCGGCTGCTTTATCCATCCAATATTTCTCATGTGTTTTAGAATGATGGCAGCATTGATCTGCTATCCTTTGAAATTGAAATATAATTGATGCGACGTTTAAGCTGAGAAGCCTACTTCCAATATTACATACATCCCCAAACAGGACAACACGTATAACCCAACATGACTTCATCAGTATCTACCACCCCAATTCATGTTTTATAGATCGGGGCAGGTGAGCTCATCTGCCTCTGGTTTCATAGGAGTCTGCACCCCTTACCTCTGTCTGAGTGCCCTTGTCTGTAGGCTGAGAACGATGGCGAGAATTCTGTGTTGTTCCCTTTGGTAACTTAATGGAGTAATGGGAATGCCAGGCCCTCTGTAAAGGCACTGAAACTGTTAAAAACTTGCAAAACACTGAAATGGAATGTTACAAGTTTTGTAAAAATGTTTCAGGAAGGTTGACACACTAACCGTTGCTGCAGTGGAGAGAGAACTTGGGATGCAGGATCCAGCAGGTGTGGTGAGGTCACCGGCTCAGCTTCCTGCCCTAGGAACCATGGTGTCTCCAGGCATAGTGATATTCTAAGGAGTGTTCATTCAGAAAACCAGCTCTCCATGTAGGCAGAATGCCTGTGCTTCTTCCAGCCAGCCTCCATCTCTCCAGGTCCCATAATCCCCGACTGGGAGCCACCTTCCCAATTCAAATTGCTTCATCTCTGGACTTCTGAGTATGCTGGTCTTAGACTGTACCAGAAGAATCTGACTAGGGAGGACATGGGACATTCTGTTGGCTGCTGATGCCACCATGAGCTTCTCCCACCAATGTGGAAGCCCTGGGAAGTTGGTGGGAAGTAGTAGTGATCCTGCCAACATGGGCTTACTCTGTTTTTTGTTTTTTGTTTTTTGTTTTTTTTTCTAAATGACATGATGCTCACATCTGGGTGAGGCGTTTACACTTTGGGGTAGCCACTGTTTCAGGAAGGAGGGATCTTCTAGAATGATTTCTGTCCATGGTACATTATTATTATAGGGGAAAAAGAATCAGCTTGCAAAGAATCAACACAAAAGGGGAAATAGCAAACTTCTTGTAGCCCTGTTATGTAAACCACTGTTAATATTTTGGTCCTATTTTGACACCAAAACATTTGGGTCATTTTTATGTAAAATACTTTGGGTTCATTTATATACAATAATAGCATGTAACATATATTGGCATTTCACCACCTAACAGGTAATGAATGTTCCCCATGTTTCCACAGTCCCACATAAAAGTTAGGAGTTACTGAAACGGAATTCCAATCTCTGGGACTTGTACCATGCCTTATTAATCGACGTGGTATTCTTTCCAACTTTCCACTCTCAAAGAACTTTACCTTCATAGACGTATTTGGGTTTCCTCTCTTGGCTATGTTAACGTATTACCTAATCCCAGTTGGCACACTGTTAGCCAAAAGTCTCAGATATAAATGTTGCTTTGACCTGAAGTTGAAAAATTATTTCTTTGAAGAACCAGGAAACTATGAGCACGTTGGCCTCTCTGTCTTAGCAAACACTGGCCTGCAAGGATGGGGCATGCTTTATTTCTGCATCATTGATCCTCAGTACAGGGCCTACCATGTGAGCTTGTGAGTTAATAGATCCTTACTGTTTGTGTCAGTAAGGAGGTGAGTGGATACTGTTGTAAATTGTGTGTTATAAAGTAAACAGAAGCACAATAAACCTGTAGAGACGTTGAGTCCACAAAGATTAGCATACTGGGCAGCTGCAGCCCAGAAGTGAGGATGTCACAGGAGCGATACAATGTGGCAAACGGCAGAAGTGGGACTGGGTATGATGGTGGGGCCACATAGACAGCATCTCTGCTGGAGAGCACTAGTTACGTAACAGGACTGCCTGAGCTTAGGTTCTGTTTCTCTTTAACACAGGCATTTACAAGGCACAGCCAAGTGTTCCTGATGTTTGCAAACCAAGTGCGCTGGGTCGCTTCAGAGTCCTGCCTGGCTCCATCTGCTCAGGATTCTTCAGGCTTGGGACTCCATTTTTATCTAACTTGAGCAGATATCAAGTTACTTTCATTGCTGGCATTTTCTAAATTGGTGGTTTCCTCCTAGACATTTAACTACAATTTCCATTTCTTGGCTGCTTTTCAAAGGAAGTTGATATATTCCATTCTGTTGCCATTAACAGCTTCAATGAGATCCAATTAGACACTGTGCACTTCATGGTGGCCAGTTCTGTGGCTTTTACCATGTGCCCCCATCTCTGCAGCCAGTTTTACATGCCTGCCGTCCCTAAGGAAACCTGGACACATTTCCCCACACTCGGTGCCTCTGCTTCTGTCTGTCCATCCTTCCTCTTCCTGGACCAGAACTTAGGGAACCTGGAGGAGCCTTGTGTTAAATATGCCACCTGTTCTTGGACATCAGTCCACTCTGGAAACATGTGTTCTTTTGTGAGTCTGCCTTGCTCTGGAATCCCCATAGAGTCTTCTCTTCTAGAAGACACGGCTCTGCTTCCAAAGCCTCACCCCTCTTGAATGCTGAGCGAAGATCTGTGGACCTCACTATACCCACAGGCAGCCTTTTCCTGAGCAGTCCACATCTCCACGGTCATTCTTTTCCCACGAACTCCAACGCTGTGTGCAATTCTTGCTGTTCTGGTCTCTGGCTTTTCTTCTGTCGACTGCGTGCTGCACTGCACGTCTTTGCTCCATTACACAACCGCCCCAATCGCCCCCAGATCTGCTCCTCCACTGTCCCACCAGAGCTCTTGTCTGCCAGTCACACCTCTTTCTTGTTTTCCCTACCACCCAGCTTTTGATAGATCAAACATCCTTCATCCTAGGGAATCTGTACTTTCTTTGAGCTTCCTCAATGTCCCACCTTTGTTCGTGACTTTGAATCCTGGCTCCTAGATTCCCCACCTCCACATTTATCATCGTTTTGTGTCCTCACCTCGTCTGGGCTCCAAAGGGAGGCAGCCAGAATGTAGACCTCGTCACTCCAGCTTTTCTTCCCATCTCTGCACACGGACTTTGCAAGGTAAAGCTCACTCTGTCCTCTGGGCATGTGCCTGCATGCAGAAGGAGCAGC